GCCATTCTTTCCCATAATCCCCAACACCCTTCAGGTACGCCCCCAGAGGACCCCAAACATGCACCCTATTCAGACAGATAGATGTGGCCCTGTGGTCAGAACACTGCAGGGCAATAAAAAGGCTGAAAACACGAGGGATTTCCCGCCTAGCACACATCTTCAGCACCTCCATCCTGGGCCTGGCTGAGCATTTGAGTGCCCTCAGGCAGCTGCTTGCTCGTGAAGGCAAGACAGACGGCCGCCCAGCCCGGCACAACGCAGGCACCTTGTACACACCTGGGGAAGCCCCACAGACGCCCTGCACCCTATCATTGAAAAGACCTGTCAAAGGCTGGAGAAGAGCCTGGTGAAGTGGCTTCATGGGCACAGGGACACTGTCCAGCAGGCTCCTCACTTGACCTATGAGGAGAAGTTAGGCCTTCCCTTGTCGGGGGCCCCAAAAGAGCCCTTACTGTCCTGAGACTCACAGGGCTGGAGCCTGTGGTCCCTGTCTGACGCCTGCGAGTGATCAGTTTGGGGGCTCACTGGTGTCTGGACAGCAGGCCTGAGGTTTGGCTTCATTGCAGTGCCTGCATCTGGTGACATTTTCTTGTTTCTCTTTTCTTTTCCCTTTTTCAGCTGAGCACTCCGAGGGTGTCACACCTCAGCACCCTCTGCTTGCTGGGGTGTCCATTTTATAACACACTTTCTCTTAAAAGACTGTCCTAAGGAGCATAGCAAATAGCCCTCCAGGGTCATGCTGCAGAGACAAGGGCTCCGAGGTCAGGAGAGGGGAGAACGCACACACCAGTCTACCAGAAACGAAAGGCTGGGTCTCCCATGTTGGCAGTCTGGTGCAGGCAGAGGAGGCCCTGAGAAAGGACATGGGATGGTGCAGGCCAGGCCTCTGTCAGCCCCAGCACTGAGCTTCCATGACGCCTGACCAAGCTGCTCACTTCCAAGCCAAAACGCTGCCCCTTATGAAGGTTCGCTGCCTGGGGAACACCTTACCTTTTGAGAAGTTTTCATTTGATTTTTTTGCCTTCACTTCCATATGCCTCTTGACCTGGAATCACATGCAGATGCTGCTATTTAAAAATCACATTCCCAGAAACTTCAGCATGTGTTGCACCTGCTTAACCTGTAAATCTATAGAGAAAGCAGAGATAGGCAGATTGCAATCTCAAGTCATCTGCTTGTCACAAAAGGCACCTTTTATTTAAAGTCAAGGCTGCCTGACATCAAAAGACCCATGTGGTACATTGCTCAGTCCTTGGTAGATTTTGACTGATGTCTGGAGTGAAGTGGCTAAGCATGTGTTCTCCTGGGCCGGGCAGAGGCGTCAGCCTAAGGTCACATGGGAGTGAAGGGAGGGAGCATGGACTTGATGGGCTTTCCCTGGACAGTCAAACTGTCTTGAGCCCCACACGTGCCCTGGTCACCAGAGGAGAGGCCAGGCGGCTCCAGAGGCACAGGATTGGTTCTGTCCCCAGGGCCACACAGGCAACAGTGTCTAGGAGAGTAGAAATGCAATTCAACCAGACAGGGTGTCTCAGAGAGGGGCCCTGCCTCACAAGTGCTCCAACTAGGTAAGGGTGACCCTGGAGGCTCAACCGGGCAGATCCTGAGGAGCCGGTGATCCATGGCCAACTCATTTCCCACCAGCTCTGCCCAAGCCTCCCTCAGCTGAGTGCTCATTTTGGGTCCTCAGTGGCCCCTGGGCTCCCATGTTCTGTCCCTTCACAAAGGGAGGTGCCATGGCCAAGCAGGGATGAGGTGGGGAGGCTGAAAGGAGCTGATTTCTGGAAGATGGAAACAAGGTGAGCAAAGCTGGAAGTGCTCTGGAGTGCTAGCTGTCTGCAGGAGGAACCGCCTGGGACTCCATGGGAACTGTTATGAGGAAAGGCTCTGGGATGGATCGAGCTACAAACTGGCAGGGGAGGCTGATGAGACACCACAGCCTGGGTCTTGTCCACGCCCGACCCCACAAGCAGAACCCGTGACCAGGCAGCAAGGTGCTCAGCCATCCACTGAACCTCTGGAAAGGGAGGGATGGTCCCCATCTCCAGGGTCTGAGGTCCCAGCCAGGGGGCCTCCCAAGGCCCTGTGCAAACCCCCCAGATGATGAGCTCTGCATGCCCCCACCCTTAACAAATCTGGGGATGCCCAAGCCTTGCTCAGGCAGCAACTCCGGCCTCCGAGCAGTGCTCTGAGGGGTTGTGGGGGGGCTGGGGGTGGCCAGGCCATCATGGGGGCTGGGCTGGACTGCAGTGAGGCTGAGTCCTCAGCCCTCAGGGGCCCCAGGGGCAGGGCAGCTCAGCCACCCACCCTCCTCCCGAATGTCTCTCCTTTCTGGGGAAAGAGTCTAAATTCGCCCGACCAGTAGGGACTTAGAACCCACAACTCACGAGTTCTTGACCCCCAAGAGCCCCTCTGGCCACTCTGCACAAGAAGGGCCCATGGGAGGGGGGATCCATACAGACCAGTGGAAGAGAGCCACCAGGAAATGACCCCAGGGATACCCTAGGGAGGAGGAGTGTGAAGTTACTGTGAGCAGCCAAGGCCATCTACAGGCTGCTGAGTTCTTGCTAACTCACCTGCCCACTGCTCACCCTCTTCAGCTAAAACAACATCATTTATACAAAAGCTTCCAAAGTCTGGTGATGCTGAGAGGCCCCCATGGGAAGGCAAGTGGCTCCCTGTTCTCCCCCAAGATCATGGGCATAGCAGCCCCCATCCAGCATCTGAGCTAGGACACCGGCCTTCTCTCAAGGCTTAAGGAGCTCCCCCTCCCCCCGCCGAGAGAGGACGAGGGGGTCCAGTCACCCTGGAACAGAGGATCCTATAGAATACAACTCCACCCTGACTGGGGCTCCTGGGAGCCCCAGTTCAGGCTGTCAGGCTGAGACTCCACACCCCCTCACTTCCTCAGTGAACTCGGGGAGTCAGAGGCTTGGTCTTTGGGGCACAGTCTCAGGTGGGCAGAGGGAGGGGCCCAAGTCCTGCAGAGACTCGAGGTGAGGACCAGAGGAGACTGAGGGTCCCCAGGGCATGCATGTGCAGCCCTCCCGACAGCCCTGGGGGACCATGTGTCGTGGCATCCAGATGTGATGTCACTGATTCCGATGGGAGGGGAGAAGTGAGGGCCTGGGTCAGGTGCCTGGGTTCAGGTCAGCAGAGTGAAGGAGCCCAGCTGTGCTAGGAGTCAAGGTAGAACCCTGAGGGGGGCTCTGGGACCCCAGGACATCCAGGTCGTCAATGCCCTCGGCCCTGGGAGACCCCGGCAGGGTTGTGGGAATGAGCCCCCTACTCCTGCTTGCCTCTCGGGGTCCTGGCTGCAGAGGACCTGGTTCTCAGGGGAGCAAGGTCAGGGACAGAGGGTGGTACCCAGGCCTGCTGAGAGTCAAAGTGAAGAGCAGAAGGAGGGTTGAGGAACTCAGGGGGCATCATCTCAGCTCTGGGAAGCCCTGATGTCATGTCCACAGACTCCCCTGGGGGTCTCAGGGCAGTGATGGCCTGGTGTGAGAGCCCTGTCTCTGGTCAACAGAAGGGGCATCCCCAGACCTGCTAGGGCTCAAGATGAGGCCTTGAGGGAGGACACAGGCAACCCCACAGGTCCTGGAACCTGCTTTCAGCCCGAGGTGACTCTGCTGGATGCATGGGCACAGGGTCTAGGGACACTGGAGACGTGATATAAGGGGCGGGGCCTCAGAGATTGGACAGGAGATTCTGAGGTTCTGAAGGAGTTTAAGTGAGGACCCTGAGGGAGGAATGAGGGGAACCTGGTGGACCCCAATCAGAGGAGACTTAAGAGAAGTCGGTCCCTGCTGTTGGTTCTTGGCATCCCTGGGGTATGATGAATGTAACAGATGTGGTCAGACTTCCTGACATATGGGTCTCAGGCTAGGGATGTGGGAGGACTTCCTGATATCTGGGTCTCAGACCGAGACCTCACATATGGGGTGGGGACTCAGGAGGGCAGATTCCCAGGTCCTGCGAGGAGTCTGGTTGAGGACCCTGAGGAGGGACTAGGGGACCGTGAGCCACAGTCAGAAGAGACCTCAGAGAACCCCGTCTCTGTTGTCAGTCCAGGGTGACTTTGGAGTAGAATGAGTGAAACAGGCATGTTCTGACTTCCTGACATCTGCGTCTTCAAGAGATTGTGGCCCTGGTATAAGGGGCGAGGCTTCAGTTGGGGAGAGGTGAGAATCCAGGTCCTGCCTGGGAGCAAGGTGAGGTGCCTGAGGAGGACTGAGTGGCCCCCAAGGGAGGATTGACAGACCCTACAGATCCCCGCCCCTGAAGTTGGCCGTGGGAGCCCTTGGGCGAGAAGAGCACACTCGGCCTGTCTGCCTTCCTCACATGCAGGTCTCAGAGAGACTGGGGACCTCATGAACATGGCGGGGTCTCAAAATGGTGGACAGGACAATCCCGGTCCTGTCTGGAGTCCAGGCTCCATGCGAAGAAGAACTGAGGCAGTTAGACCCCAACAAGGAGGGATCTTGGCCCTTGTGGGGACTCTTGGAGTGCTCAGAGCAGGGTGAACAGGGTGAGCAGTTTCTTGACCTTTGACTTAGGGACCTCAGAACCTGAGGTGATCAGGCGGAGGGCTGAGGCTTCAGGGCCACAAAGGGTGGACTCCCCAGACCCCGAGGGAGGACTGAGCAGACCCCCGCCCCTGTGGTCAGTGTTAGGAGGCCAGTCAGGACATGAGGAGGAGCTGAGGACCGAGCATCTCCCTAGGCTAGGACCCATGGGAGGTCCTTGGTAGGTGCAGCCACATGTGGGGCCACTTAGCACTTTCTGTTCAGGCTTGCGTCTTGTTCTGAGTTTCCATGCAGACCCCCAGAGGGGAGGGACCAGGTCGTGACAGGGGAAAAGTGAACACTACAAGGGAATCCCAAGGGGACCTCCCACCACATAACTGAGGGGACCTCACAGAGTCCACCCCTCTTACCATCAGAGAAGGCAGGGCTGTGCCACAGGATACCCTTGAACTGCCCCCTCCATTTCTCTCACAGGAGCTGCAGGAACTGGAAGGCAAAGGCAAAGCTCTGAGGCCCATGTCCTGAGGTCAGAGAGCAGAGGAGCTCCAGGCAGTACCAGGAGTAAAGGTGAGGTGGGTGCTCTGAGTGTGCACCAGGGGCTCCCCATCCCAGAACAGAGGGGAACCCACAAGGGCCTAATTCCCATACCTTGTCACACTGGACATCTCGAGCTGTGCTGACTGCACCCCGGTGAGCCACGTCACTTCCTCCTTCAGGTAGCCAGGGGACTGGCCACTCTGGAGGCACGCCCCTGTGAGGTCTGAGAGCACCCCTAAAGGGGAGACCTGTAAGTGGCCTGTGTCAGACTGCCCAGGGTGCGTTTCTCAGCCGAGGCTGCTCACACCCCCTCTCTCGCCCAGGCGGGTGGTCCCCGTCTATTCCCCTGCCTCACTTCTGTCTGTGATTTGATCCCAGGCATCATGCTCATGGTCGAGATGAGTGAGCTGAGCAAGCCAAGCAAGCCCGAGGAAGACCTCCAGGACCCAGGCGAGGCCCAGGGCACGGTAGAGGCGCAGCTGTTGGGGGCTGAGGCAGGAGAGGCTGCATCTGCCTCGGCCTCGTGACCCTGGTCTCCTGCTCCACGCTTATGGAGGCCTTGCCCCAGGAAACTCTGAAGGAGATGATAACTAACCTGATGAAGTTTCTGCTCCTGAAGTATTGAGCCAAGGAGCTGACCTCCCAGGCGGAAATGCTGAAGAAGGTCCTCAGGGATAACCAGGTGCACATCCTGGTAGTCTTCAGCCAAGCCTCGGAGTGCCTGCAGCTGGTCTGTGGTGTGAAGGTGAAGGAGGTGGACCCCACGGAGTACATCTACATCATGGTCCCCACCCTGGGCCTCACCTGCGATGCAATGGTGAGCAGTGGGCAGAGCATGCCCAAGGCCAGCCTCCTGGTGCTGGTCCTCAGCCTGATGTGGAATGGAGACCGTGCCCCTGAGGAGGAGGTCTGGGGAGCACTCAGCAAATGGGGATGTTTGTTGGGAGGGAGCACTATGTCTTTGGGGAGCCCAGGGAGCTTCTGACCCAAGTGTGGGTGCAAGAGGGGTACCTGGAGTACCAGCAGGTGCCTGGCGACCCTGCTTGAGTTCCTGTAGGGTCCCTGGGCCTATGCAGAGACCAGCAAGTAGGAAGTCATGGAGTATCTGCTCAAAGACAAACAAAGGTTTTCCAGGGCCTTCCCACCCCCATCTGCAGGGGCTGTGAGGGAGGAGGAATAGGAGCCCTGACCCAGAGAAGCAGCCAAGCTGATCCTTCCCTCTGTGATTGAAGAGGGAGCAGTCAGCCTTCTCAGTAGTGATGGCCTGGGCCACTTAGGGGAACCCGGTGTGTAGTATCTTTGTGTTCCTTTTCTCTGTGATGACATGGAAATTAATCTCTGATTTTAGGAATTTTTCAAATGTGTTTTTTCAGTTTAAGGCTTAATAAACTTCAGTATCTAACTTTGTGAATGACATTGATCACACATGTATTTGTACTTAACCAGTTTAAGGACAAGAGTTTTGTTGTTTTGTAAAAGAGACTGGTAACTCTCCCATTTTATTTCATGACCCTGAGCAACATCATAAAGAATTGGAATTACAACTATTTTGGATATGTGAACTTACTTAGCAGTATATAGTTGGTGGAAGAATTGGAAAATAAAAAATGATTGTAGTGAATTCTCACTTCTTATAGGTTTTGACTGTCCTTTTCTACAGCTGATCCACATCTGTTTACTTGGATTTGCCAGGTTATTATTTAAGAAACTAGGAGAAAATTGATGAGATTAATAAGCCCCCTTCTCACTGGCTCATTTATTCCACAGAACTTCACGGAGCCTCTGCTCTGTGGAAGGCCCTGTGTTAGCAATGGGGACACTAGGAGAAGCAGGACACCCCCACACCTAGAGCTATGGTCTAGGAGCCACAGTCACAGAAGGAAGGTGGAGAGACGTCCCCAAGTCCCAAAGAACAAGGCAATATGGGGCAGGGTGGTGGGGCTCCAAGAGGAGCACCCAAGTGTTGGTGCCTGAGCCAGGGTGGTTTGGGGCCTTGGGAAGCTGGGTTCCTTCTGTGGGAGGTGATGGTAATGAACCTGAGTGGTGGCAACAGCCAGACTGTAGATGGGGTCTTATGAGTGAGAGGAAAGTCTAGAATCGGACATGCACGTTAGAAGTTCATCTTCTCTCCAAAAATCTCCTGGGTCTCAAAAAGAAAGTGTGCTTTGGTCAGAACAGGTAGACACTTGGTTTTTCTGCCTTAGGCTAAATACACTAGAAAGTTTCCAAATGGGAAATGAGTGAATTTGTTTCAGTGCATAGTCGACTCAGTCTCAGGATACATATTTGAAGACATTTTGATTATCACCCTCAGTCTTCTGGTAAGATTTTAATGGGGTTCTTTGAAACTGGCAGTTGGACACTTCAACTGATGGGTCAGCTTTCCTAGGTGGTTAGACCCCAAAGCCATATAAACTGCACTGAACTTGAATTCATACACCTCAGAATCCTCCGTGGAGGTGAAGGCAGGTGCACATCCTAGCTGGATTTTATAAAGAAAACTCCCACTGTCCTTGTCCTCTCACTGTCGCTTGTCTGATACCTGCCCCTCATGAAGCTCATGGCTGTCAGGGAGACTGTGGGCACCTGTGCAAATGCTCAAGCAAGTTCCATTGTGTGGAGGCAGCTGCGATTCGCAGGGGGAGATTGTCCTGGCATCAGGAGGCAGGGGCACATCCTCAGTCTGCTGAGACTGTGGGCGGCATCACTGTAGAGGGAAGGGCAGAAAGAACACTGGAGGGAGTCGGGGGACCCCTCCCTGACATTCACAAAAGCTTTGGAAGCTAAATCAGATCTTGCATTTGCAAGTGCTGATGATACGGAGTGGTGATTAGAAACAGTTGAAGGTTCAAGGCACGTTGGGCTTTCTCAGAAACTCCTCAACACGTGAAGGGGATTGTCTTCATCACAAGCTATGCCAACCAGCTGCTGTCTGTTGAGCACCGAGTACACTGCAGGGCAGGGGAGAGACTCCAGGTCCTTGTTCACATCTCTTCTCCCTCTGCTTCCTGGAAGCTGCCTGCAAGAAACGGGATCCTTATGTAAACCTACAACAATTTGGAAATAAATACATGAATAATTCACCAAGATTTTAATACAAAGATAGAAAAAACGGTTCATCTAAATAACCATAGCATGTTGTTTGGGGGAAAAGCATTCCATTTGTGTTGATGCCTGGGGTGGGATGGAAAGGTATTTTGGATGCAGGTGGTGCCACATCCATGGGGCTGAACTCCCAAGAGGCAGGAAAGGCTCCTGCCTGACTGACTGATGGAAGATCTGTCCAGATGCCATCCATTCAGAGCCAAGGGTGAGGACCTGGGCTCCTCCCAGTGGCACAGTCAGAAGGTGGGTGTTTTTAGGAGAACTACTCTCTTCCTAGAGCCCTCCATGACAGTTGTGATGTAGACAGGGTAGAAGAGGAAGGATCAGTTTGGATTCTGGGCACTGCAGATGATATCCTGGGGGTGGTAAAGCCAGATGAACTGAGGAGGGTGGAGAGCCCTGGGAGCAAGGGGCAAGGATGCAGCTTAGGAGTCGAGCTGAGCTTCAACCAGAACCACATGAGGACCACATGAGTCCTCGCCCTCTGCCCTCCTTCTGGGATCCATCCTTCTCTCCCTTTCCCTTCATGTGGCAGGTCCGGGTCAGGAGAAGAGGAGACACATGGATGGGAAACTGGTGCCTGAACCTCTGTGGAGAGGAACACCAAGTACCAAGTGGGAACCATGGCTCATAGGTTAGTAGGACTGTTATGATATTTCCTGAGGGAACCATCTCCCTTTGGGAAGAGCATGTCCTGTCACCACCATTAATAGAGTAACCAGTAACCACATAAGACTGGGTATTGTGAACTCAAATGTACTTAGTGTGTCCCAGGGCCTGGCCTTCTGCCTTAACATAATGTGAAGTCAAATGTAAATAGCTAGAAGTGGCTAATGGCTAGATAGCCCTGCTGAGGAACTGCAGAACCTACATGGGGGACCAGAAGCACAAGTTCCCTTGTGGGTCACTGGGAGTGGTGGTAGGTGGGGTCACTGCTCCCTCTGGTTCCAGGGCCATGTATCTTACTTAGTGGGGGAACTAATGATGACAGATGTGGAGTTTGTCTAGTCCCTGGAGGGTGAAACCCCAGCATCACGGGCTCTCATATCCCAGTGTGCACCTCACATGTGCTTCGTAGAGGCCATTCCACTGCTCCAGGAGACCAGCAGCTTTGGAAGCTGTGGTCTAACAGCAATGAGGGCTTTGGTGTGAGGATCCAGCCTTGGGTCAATTCAGGGACATCCTGTACCCTCCAGAGCTCAAGATGAGGACCCCAAGGAGGACACAAGGACCTCATGGATCCCACCCCTGCTGTCATCCCTAGGCATCCCTTATGGCGGCATGAGCACTTGGCAGCATGTCCCTAACTTTGGCATCCCTGTCTCTGACAGGTTGGGGACCTGATATAAGGGGCGGGCCTTAGAAGGAGAAGGGGAGAACAGTAGGTTCTGAAGAAGTCTGGGTGAGGACCCTGACAAAAGACTGAGGAGAACCTGGATCCCATCACAGAGTGGGCTCAGGGAGCACATAGGGTGGAATGAGCACATGCCGCATTTCCTGACATCCGGGTCTCAGAGAGACTGGGGACCTGCTATAGGTGGCGGGGCTTCAGGTGGGCAGAGAGGAGAATTCCAGGTCCTGTGGGGTATAAAGTTGAGGTCCCTGAGGGGGGACTAGGGGGCCCTTGACCTCAGAGAAAGCTATCTCTGTTGTCGGTCGATGGCAGCAGTGAAGAAGGATGAGAACAGGCATGGTCTGACTTTCTGACTTCCGGGTCTCAGCGAGACAGGGGACCTGGTGTGAGGAGCCGGGCCTCAAACTCGGGGAGGACAGAGCCCCAGTCCTACCGGGAGTCAGGTGAGGACCCCGAGGGAGGAGTGAGGGGAGCCGGACCCCAGAACAGAGGGGACCCTGGTAGTCCCCAGGCAGGACGACCTCGTGCTGCATTTCCTGACATCAGGTCTCAGAGAGACGGGGGACCTGGTGAGAGCGGCGGGGCCTCAAAATGGAGGACGGGCCAGTTCTGGGTCCTGCCTGGAATCCAGACTCCAGGCAAGGAAGGACTGAGGTGGTTAGACCTCAACACAGGGAGGGATCTTAGCCTTTGATGGGGGTCCTAGAGGTCTCAGAGCATGTTGACCAGGATGCGCAGTTTCTCGACTTCTGGCTTAAGGGGCTCGGGAGGTGAAGTGTTCAGGCAGAGGGCAGAGGCTTCAGGTCCACAGATGGTGGACTTCCCGGGCAGAGCTGAACCCACCCTTGTGGTCAGTGCTGGGAGTCCAGGCTGGACGTGAGGTGAGGACGGAGCATCTCCAGCCTAGGACCCGCGGGAGGCCCTGGTCGCTTGCGGCCGCACGTGGAGCCCCTTCGTGCTTTCCCTTCAGACTCGGATCTTGTTCTGAGTAACTCTGCAGGCCCTCAAAGGGCCGTGGCCGGGGAAAGGTGGGCACTACAAGGGAGCTACAAGGGGACCACTTCCCCC